TTCGGTTTGAATGAACAGGTAATGTGGCTGTTGGGCTTAAATTTAAACAAATATGAATTTGTTTGGTTTAAATTCAAACAGATATTCATCTGTTCGGGTGGGAAAAAACTGGAGCCCATTTTGAATTCAATTTTTGAAATTCAAATTCCAAAAAATTAGATATTAATTTTAGAAAAATAAAATTCAAATGTTTTTTGCCCAAAAAGATAGGTATTGGGCCAGACAAGCCTAGCTCGAACAGACAGTAGCGCGTGTTTATTTTGGGTCCAATGGATTTAGCCAACTTTGCCCATAACCTCCCCTCTACAAAACTTGGATACCCCTTGGAGCCTACCCCAAATTCCATACTCAAGCCTTATAAACCCACTCAAAGTATGCCTACCAAATCAATGTGGGATAAGCCTTGAACCAAACCTTTAGGAAATTTCACCAAAAACACCATTTCCATGGAGCTCTCTTTGGATTCAATTTCTCATTCACCCGATAATAGTTTTGAGCAACCAAATATACTACGTGAATCACAACGCGGCATAGAACGCGTTTCCACTTTAGACTTGCCAAATTTGGCACATGGGTCCTACCTAAAAATTAGACCAAAGTTGAGGAAAAATCTTGTTTTTTTTTCTCCAAAACTTCCAAAACCATTTCTAACAAAAATAGCTCAAGATCTAGTAAAGTTATTGATGGGGGACATAATTCAAAAAAACTAGGCCTACATTCTAGTTTGAAGGCAGAAAGGAAAAGAACAGAAGGGATATTGAAAAATGAAATGGGTGGAGAAAGCAAGAGGCCAATGACGAAAGAACATAAAAGGGCCAACAGGCTCCCTATTGAGAATGATCCTCATTCACTTCATGATAATGAAAAAGAAAACATACCTAGTTTTGAAGATCATGTTAATGGTTTAAGTAGATGTTTGGAGGTCATTGATCTCAACAGGGATGCGGTGATAGAGCTCGAAGGGAAGAGGGGTTTCTCTCATTCCCACCTTGGTGACAATTTTGCTGAAAACGAAAGAGCCCCCATATATTCATCATCCTTCTCTAAGGAGTACCATTTTTCCCACCAGCAGGTTTCACCAAATATGCTGTCAAAGACTGGACCACTCTCTTTCCACGACAGTTGAGTTCATGCCCAGCACAAGAACTCCATTGGCGGACAAAAATTCTGCTCCCATGTAGCAGCAGATTAATTTAGGTTTATAACAGAATCAGATTCAACAGTAGACAAGGCAGCGGAAAAGGTGTCAAAAAAACGCTCCATTACATGGCATTGGAGATCAGAATTGCTGAGTTCTACTCATAAGTCTTGTGCAAGTATGCCTACAAGGTACGTGCCTTTTTTTTTCAAGGCATGGGTCTCTGTTCTATATCTCTCTCACCTAAGTTTATTCATCTTTAAGTTGGTTCTTCTGTGAACACGTCCCATATATTAGCAAATTGTCCGATTAAGCTTGTTATTTAGTGTTTTCTGATTGTGCAAGAGTTTAATTGGATTGAAGTTCATAGTACTTGTACAGGAAAAATTGTTCTTGAATAAACACATACTATTTGTCAGATCAGATATAATAAATGTGTTGGATTTCTCATCTGTTTTCAGATTTGAATACTAGCGTATACTTGCATCATTGGATTAGCACATATAAACGTGGAGAAAACAATTAAGGTAATATAGAACATCATTAAAGTTGATTTGTCTAGAGTGTCAAAATTATCAAATTCAAAATTACTGCAAACACTCAGATTCTAAATCTGATAAAACAGAATAGTTAGTTATAGCGATCCCGGATTTACCCTTGTTGTACAGTGATCCGGACATGTGTCCGTGGATGTTGGTAGTTGATTATTATCTTGTTTACATCCTTTTTACTTTGTATTTGAGTGATGGGATGTGTTGGGCAGGTTTGTTACAGGTTGGTTGAGTTTAGAAACCAAAACTAGTTGCCCAGATTTTGACCTGTCCGCTCGAGCGGGGGTTTTGGCGCTCGAGCGGGAATTGCACCCATCCAGTATTTCCTGTGCAGTGTTGGAAGCTCGAGCATGGGATTGGCCGCTCGAGCGGGGTTCTGTGTGTGACGCTCGAGCGGGAGAGTTGACGCTCGAGCGGAGACCTAGTTCTGTAAAAGTTCTGGGAGTGTGCATCCGCCGCTCGAGCGGGATAAATAATATTTTCACACTGTTATATTTTTAAAAATAACAATGGGTTGGAAGAAGCAGAGATGCAGTAAAGATTGAGAGAGCAAGTAGAGATGGAGACCTCAAAACAGCAAAAAATCCTTTTGTCTAGCAATGGAGGCTAAGTTAGATGTAGAGAGCAAAAATAAAAATGGACAAAATAGCTCTTGTGATGCAGAGCCTGTTGGAAGAACAGATAACCAACTGCACTAACAAAAATCCCTCATGTGGTCTTTTTGCCTCCCTCCTTGAGATGCTCCAACATATACAAAAGCTGGTTTTAGTTCTGCCTTAAACTAAGTGATTGGTCTTAAAACTCTGTACATCATAGGATTCTTCTCTCAATCTAAATTTGGAAGGATAGTGCAAAACTTGATTTCTTGGATTGGACTGATAATCGGATTGGATCATGTTGATCCGAATCCAGTCCATTAATAATCGGATTTGTATGCAATTGGATTAGATATTCATTAACGAATTGGAATTTTTGGATCAGATTCAGATTATATATCCGATCCATTGACAGACCTAGGTAGGAGGCATAAGCATATCATCTGATATGTCAAGCCTTTGCCGTTGAGCCAAGTCGCACTTTTAGTTGAATAATTCAAATAATAACATAAATGATTGAAGATTTTTCTCCTTTCCATAATCAATCAATCCCTATCAATCAGTTTTAGCTCTTTGATATTGAAGAGTATTCTAGTTTGCAATAAATATGCAAGACTACTTCAATTGATAAATTTGGTCTTGAGCTTATAGAAAAGACAAGTATTAAACCACTTGAGATGTTTGCTTGATAGCAAAAGGGCTAACCCTTGAAGTGGTGCGTTTTCATGAGGTGTTAGTTTTAGAAGTAGGCTTGGATTTTCATTGAGGAGTTGTTTGAAGTGAAGAATGCGTCCTGATTTTGCAGTTGTATAGTCTCTGATCCATTGTGGGTTTTCTAGTAAGGCGATAAGATTTGGATTGATGTGGGGATGCTTTTATAAGTTTTTAATCTTTTACGTTTGTTATAAAATGTCAGCACATTGGCCTCCAGAGTTTATAATATTTGATGCCATTATTTAGGTGTAGTTGACTTGGACAAAGTTGCCAGTTTGGCATTTGTCTGGAGGAATTAGACCATCCCCGGTTCTTAAAAACAATTTCATCAAATTTAATTGAAAATTTTGATTACGAACTTGATTTGATATCAAATACTTCAATCATTTTTTTTCGTCTATGGTTTTGAAAAAAATCCAAACTCACACTAAAAACTTGTTTTAATCATTTTTTATTTAAAAAAAAAAAAAAACCATCTCAAATCCTATCTTCTCCTTTTTCTTTTTCTTTTTTTAAATATATATATATATATATGATCAAATTTACATTCATTACTCATAATGTTATATGAAATGGAGCATATTATGCTTTGTTTTTACCACTATGTTTGGTTTCAGTACAGATGATGCAAGAAAAATTTTCAATTCTAATGATGGTGTACCGAAGTTACTTTTGTTTTTTTGGTTTTGAAAATTGAAGGTCTAAAATTCATGGTGGAAACTCTCAATAGTGTTAGGTGTACTACTTTAGTTGGGGTGCATTTTTTTATGATTGAGAGGCTACTAAGTAGTTTGCAGAGTAATGGTGGACTGTGGTATATGGGTGTGTGGAAATGAGGGAAGAGAGAAAACTAAGTATAAAGATGAAAGGGTAAATATGGTATTTTAGAAAATTAATTGTGAAAATAAGCCAAAATTGTTAGTTTGACTTGACAGTCAACTAATGGAAGGGTCAATTTGTATTATGACTATAAACCTCAAGAGGGTGTTGTAATTATCAGAATGTGAGGAGGAAATTTGTATTAAATACAATCCTCAAGGAGTGTCATTGTAATTTACCCATAGAATTTATATGTAAGTGCTCATATACTATTTATAACACAAATATATATTCTAACCTGGGGGAGATGGGGGATGAGACTCAAAAGCTAGACTTTGGCTTACCACTAGGGTTACCCTTTTGTCTTTGTGTTTCTCTTGAAGCATCAAAGGGTTAGCATATTGTAGCTCATTGAAATAAGATGGAAAAAAGTTCCAATCCATAATAAACATACATGTACATACATTTATTGACTTACAAAAATACTCACGTAAAGGTTGTTGTGTATCTGAATTTTGTATGTGATGAACCACATCGTAGTTGGGGGATTAACTTGAACCCTATGAAGTGCGGGTATTGGTACGGATATGTTAATATGATAAAAATTTTAAAAAAAAAGTAAAGTACAAGTACAGTTTGGTACGTTTATAAGAAAATATATATTTTTAATTTGAAGTAATGCAAAAATTGATTAAATGGTTTAATTTGTCAAGATCCAACCTATAAGTAAGTATATAAACCAAAATTAGATGTCATTATATTAAGTAACTTACGAACCATAGCTTAATTTTAAAATATACTAAAACTAAAAATAAAAAATGAAGTCTAGTGAAAGAAATTTTATCTCTGTAGTAGAAGAAAATATTATTTCAATTAAGGTATGGTACGGCTAGGTACGTCTGAGTACGCTAAAAATTACATAGAAAAAATTTGAGTACGTGTTTCGTGTACCTAGCTTGTATGCAGAAATACCATTCGAGGTACCATATGCCGGTAAGTACCCGGATACGACATGTTTTTCAAAGTACACATGCTTCATAGATAGTAATCCACCTGATAAATTTGGTTTCTTTTCATGTTATAACCTGTGTTTGTTTGGAGAAAATTTTGGAGATGACAATAGTGGATTTCTTTCCTTAAATGTTGAATTGAATATGATGTTCTATCTGCTCAATTTGAATTTTGAATGTGTGATAGATGCTGAAGTTGGCTGCATTTTTTTTGCTTCTTCAAATTGAATTCTTTTATAAACTGACTGTTTCCATCATCTCTTTGGTACAGGATGATTCATATCTGGACAGTTACATTAGCACCATTGGTGTTGACTTTGTAAGCATCTAGTATCTATGGGCTAAGGTGAACATAAACTAGACAAAAGGGATAGCTCTAATCATTTTTTCCCCCTGCAGAAAATACGCACTGTAGAGCAAGATGGAAAGACCATTAAACTTCAAATTGTAAGATATTCCCTTCTATTGTTTTGATGTCCTCTGAAATAGACATGTTTTCAATTTTTTTTGGGATTTGGGACTACATGATGCACTGAGCAAGAGCAACTATTTAGCATACCTGGATTATGTATTTTCTTTCTTTGCTTCTCTTATGTAGAGGATGCATTATCCTCATTTCTTCTTTTTGATTAATCAATAAAAGTTTGTTGTTGATCAAAAAAAAAATAATAATAATAATTAGCATACCTGGACCACTAACTCTGCATGCTGCCATGGTGCTCCCAGACCAATCAGAGCACTATTTACATGATGTGTGGAGCTGAATTGACCCACCATGGTCAGCTGGGTAGGAAACAAGGTTGGCCTCGTCCATCCCTTTTCTCGTGGCCTCATTGGTCGGAGAGCCATGTGCTTGTGCCATGGTGGTGCCTTGAGAGTACTAAAAAATTTTCTACTGAGCAAATACTTTTGGTTAAAGGTTTAAAAAGTTTATGTTTAAAATTTTTCACGACTGACGGATAATTAGTATAAATGGTATTGCCAATTCTTTTGGTTCCACTTTGTTCATCTCTTTGTTAAGAATTCCCATCTGGCCAGTGATGTTTATTGTGTGCAAGTTGCAGAGCACATTATATCATGCTCATCAATATTTGAGTGAATTTATTATATCATTCTTTTCTTCTTCTTCCTCTTTTTTTTTTTTCTCCCTTTTGTGGGCATGTAGTGGGACACTGCTGGACAAGAGCGCTTCAGGACAATCACTAGCAGTTACTACCGTGGGGCCCATGGCATTATAGTAAGTTTTTGTTTTCTTTAATCCTTTCTTCTTCTTCTTCTTTTTTCCTGGTTTGTTGGTTTCTGCAGTTTCCTCCTCAATTTGTTAATATGTCATGTATTATTGGCAATTTGGACAGATAGTTTATGACATAACAGATCAGGAGAGTTTCAACAACGTTAAACAATGGTTGAATGAAATTGATCGTTATGCCAGTGAGAATGTAAACAAACTTCTAGTCGGAAATAAATGCGACCTCACTGATAATAGAGCCGTTTCCTATGATACAGCTAAGGTACATACCTGACATTCTTGCTCTATTTTTTCCCATACTGTTTTGTTCTTTTGAGCCATTAGTTAAATCAGGGTTTTGCTTATTATGTGCGTATTTATTTTCTTTTAGGCATTTGCTGATGAAATGGGCATACCATTCATGGAAACAAGTGCAAAAGATTCTACTAATGTGGAACAGGCATTCATGGCCATGGCTGCTGACATCAAGAACAGGTACTTTCCTTGTACATCTGGCTTTAAATTCTTCCGCATTTTCATTTTCATTTTCATTGTTTTTGGAAGAATTTCTAGATTGGACAAAACACAAAAAATGATTTGTCATAATAGTTGTTTTCTTCTATGAAGCACGGATACTTCTACAAGGAGTCGTATCCACATCGTACCCATATCGGATACAGATACTCGAGGATACGTATCAAATACTTTCTAAACATATTCAATACTTGTGTTAATTTTGAGAAGCGCCAGATTCCTTTTGGACACTCTAGGTCATGTACACAAACTATTTGCATAGAATTAGAGTATTGTTATTAGAATAAAAACAAGGATTGTTTTTCAATATATATATATTTTTTCCCGTACCGAAGAAGAAATAGTGACAATGAAGAGTACCCTACTTTTTCATACTTTATCAAATTAACATATCCATTGAAAAGAAAGTAAAACTGACTATTCACTCTTAAGCTAATATTTTATCAAACAAATGTATCCATTGAAAAGAAAGTAAACTGACTGTCCACTTTTAAGCTAATATCTAATTCCTAAAGAATAATTTATCACTGTTCATCGAGCTCATGTTTAATATAATATAAAAATTATAATTTTTTTAAAGCATTTTGGCCATACCCATATCTTATTTTTTAGATTTTGTTGTATTGCCGCATCCGTATCCATGCTTCATAGCTTTTCTTAATGCTTTTGAATTTTTTTAGTTGTTGTAATTATGCTCATTAAAATTTTATGTCTCAAATATTTGTTCAACTGTTCATCACAGGATGGCAAGCCAGCCAGCTATGAACAATGCAAGACCACCAACGGTGCAGATACGAGGGCAACCTGTTGGCCAGAAGAGTGGCTGCTGCTCATCTTAGTTGGTTCTGGTCTGCATTTCAAGCTCTGTCCACTATTAATCAGAGAGTAATACTACTATCTTCACCCCTCCAAAGAGGTTTATAATTTGCTTTTTATTATCAGCTGTTTGTAAGCTATCCAAGAATTCATATTCTTTTTTTGTCTATTTGAGTTTCAAAATGACCTGTACAAATCATAAAGGTTCTTATTAAGTATTTGTTTGTTATTTTTTTCATTCTCATGTTTATTTTCTAGAGAAGCAAGGCATCTTTTTTCTTTGGCTGAGAGGTATGTTTTGCCTTTCAGCTGATTAAACCTAATGACAGACATATAGGGGCTGTTTAGCTATCTAAGTTGTTTATAGTTTTTTTTTTTTTTTAAATAAATTTTAGGAGTCCCTGTCAAACTATTTGTTGTATTTTTTATGCATGGTTTAAAAAAAAAGGGAAAAAAAAAAAAAAAAAAAAAGCGCTTAAATAAGCTTAAAAAAAGTTAATTATCTAGAGTTGGTAGAGAGGTGTTTTTGATTTTTACTTTTTGGTTATTAATTTTTAGTTAATTTCAATAGTTTGAAATTCGTGGGAAGAGTGGTTTGGGATATTTTGGGACTTGAATTCCAAGGGTCTGTTTGTTTATATTTATAATTTTTTTTATATATTTATAAATTTTTTAAAAATTATAAATACAAACTCATTTGATTTATGTTTTCATTTTCAATTGGTTATAAATATTTTTTTAAAATTTAATAAATTTTGTAAATACAAAAAGGTTGGTTTTATTATTATTATTATTATTATTATTTTTATTTTTATTTTTTTTATTTATTTTTGGTCATTTGTTTTGTCTTTCTCTTATCCTTTTGTACCATCATTATCCATTGCTCATCAATATCGGCTACCACCCAATAATGTCAACCTCCAACCATCTTCAACCGCCACCTTCCTCAACTGTCAACCACTTTCTATCGCTACCAACCATCTTCCACCAATGACAACCACCTTCGGCTGCAATCTTTTGTTGAAAATCACATTCAACTATCATTATAAACGGTTGACCAATTACCATTTTCGACTACTGACAATCATTTTTGGCCATCACTTTTCATGGCCATCAACCACCTTCAATCATTGCTAACCACCTCTCACTAGTGACAACCATCTTCGATCACTTTTGTAGCCCATCAACCACCTCCAATCACCAACAACCACCTCCGATCACCATCTTCAACTGTCGACAATCACATTTCACAACTATCCATTTTTGTCTATTTAGAAATTAAAATTTTAAAATACTTATATACCAAATGTTTTTTATTTTTATTTTTATCCAAAATAAATAAAAACATGTTAAATATTTTCTGTAAAGTACCAATAATAAACTGCAAACGTTGTCAAACAACACTTAACTTTTTGAGAATTCTAGTAGTGAGATGTTACAAAACTCTGGAATTTGAATCCTATGGCTTGGATTCACTCAATGTTTGGCCCTATAACAAAAACCTTAAACAAAAATGTTTGGGAGCTTTAAAAGAAGAGCTCCAAAGGAGCTCAAATGGGTGGGGGCTTACCCATTAATGTGATGTTTTAACCTTTTTTTATTTATTTTTAATTTTTTTATTTCAATGTCACATATATAGAGCTCTATTTAGAGCTTTATACCTAGAGCTTTCAATCACTACCCAACTTTAAATCCACATATCTTTGATCAATTTTTCATTAGGGTGGTCATGGGCAAGTTTTGGTATGTTCGGGTTCCAGATTGTGGATTGGACTTGCCTACAACTATGTGAGTTGAAAAATTTGGATCCGCAATCGTCGGCAATGCAGCTTACGGTTTGTGCTGGTGGGTCAATTGGTTGTAGGGGTGGATGCATTTGGTTGTGTGGGTTGAGATTTTATTATAAATATTAAAAAAATAAATAAAAATCGAGCGATTCATGAAGCTCAATAATTTGTAACTCATTCTATTACCAAACAAGTCAAACTTGCATTTTACTTTCAAGCAATTTTTATTTGTAAATTTACAAATAATTAATACATTGTTTATTACTTATTGCTTAAAGGAAATTGATAGAATGGACACACTTTTATAAGAGTTAAGAATTGTTCGAGTATTTTATTTTATTTATTTATTTTTATGTGGGGAAACCACAGGTGGACCTAAAAATATATATATATATAAACAAATATGATTTAGTCTTAAGTTTTCATTACTTTGCATTCCACATTATTTTTTTTAGTACTTTCAATAGGCACAAAGACTTCATACAAGCGGGAAAAGATAATGAAACTGAGATAAAAAGGTTAGAAAAAATGAATAACCCATGTGAGAGGTTAGAGAATTTTTATTTATTTAATAATGGAGGCAACCCGTAATTTTATTTAAAATTTAATCCACATCCGACCCTATCTATCTCTTAAAACAGCCAAAAACCTTACAATTAAGGTCGGATTGTGCGGGTTATGCGGGTCAGACAACACGCTGTCGGGCCCTATTTTTCAGGTAATTATTCAGTAATTCTAGAATATAAACACGTGATATTTCATAATATTTTGATTGGTGGAGAAGGTGAATAAGTGAGGTATTGTGTTCGGTGATTGGAGAACATGAAAAGACATATGAAATGGTGATTGACTAGGGAGTATAGACACATAATATTCTGGAAATATTGAATAATTTTTCCTACTTTTCATGATAAATTTCTGGGACCATTTCGAGTTTCAACGGTTTGAAACTTGTACACTTGTACCTTTGGGCAACGGATGAAGTATTGGGGCAACAAAAATGTTAGAGGTCCCAAAAATTCTACTAAAAGTTTTATCAACATGGGACCTACATTGTGTGGGTCCCACACCCATGTGAGACATTTGATAAAATTTTTAGTAGAATATTTAAGATTCCTAACATTACTCGGGCAACGGATGAAGTATTGGGCGTGGGGTTCATTCCTAATACGGAGTAAACACTCTTCTATTGATTAATTAATGAGATGGTCTTATTTCTTACACCAATAAGAACCAATGACCAATAATGTAATATTTATGTGAATAAATTTGTAATCAATTCACCCCTTATAAAGGGTGTCAGTAGCCTTTTCAGCCTGTTCAATTCAATTAAGAGTTTGTGTTTAGTAAAGTTAGTTAAAAGTTGATTTGTTTATTTTTATTTATTTATTTTTAAAAATGTATAAAAAAATAGAAAAATAATATAATTTAAAAAATTAAAAAGTCAAAAAATTAATTTTTAATCATGTTGCATAATAGGTCTAAATTTTTAAGAGTTTGTGATTATATTTTAGTCTTTATAAGTGGATGAATTGAGTTATTAGACATGTAAATTGAGCTAGAGAATAATCATTAAAATCCTACCCAACTCAGCTTAGTTTGATTATTATATATTTTATAAGCTATATATGCTATGTATGTATTAGTTTGTATAGTATATACCTTTATAATTTAGGAATATTTAGTCTAATATCTCTCTCCAACTTTTAGTATAGGAGATGTTCATAATTTTTTATTTATTTATTTATTTATTTTTTATTTGCCCAACGACTAGGGACGGAATTAGGAGAAGATTATAGGAGGCCATGGCCCCCTGTTTCTTTAAAAATTATTGTTTGTTATTGAATTTTGAAAATGTATATATCATTTTATACATAAAATAATCCTCAGTATAAAAAAATATATATGTCATTCTTCTTCCATCTTAAATTCTTTTTTTATTTTACACCAAAAAAACTTCTTCATCTTATTAGAAATTGCTTCTATGGTATTTAATTTTTTTTATGTATATATAATTTATATATATCATATTATACATACATGTTTTTGACCACTCCCATAATGAAATTCTTATTTCGTCCTTGCTCACACTCGTATATCACGAGCAAGGATTCTCTAGAGTGATTTTTTCTTAAAGTTTTCTAAAGTGCTACAGTGTATGGTTCTCAACCACACAATATAGCACTCTAGAAAACTTTAGAAAAATTTCACTCTAGAGGATCTTTGGTGGTATATCACACCCACTCTCTTATTCTCTCTCCTCTCTTCTTTCCTCTCCCCCGCGTAGCCTCGTCCTCCCCCTCTCACACGTTGACGCCTTATCTGCCACTATGACCCTCTCTCTCTCTCTCTCTCTAGGGTTTGTTTGTTGGATTGAGTGGTGTTCCCAATGGAGGTCGATACTCAAAGGATTACCAACTGTAACTTCGATCTCAACTCCAATCCACTGCCATTTTCGTACTCCCTCAACCTCGGTCCCCTGGACTTCTAATCTCCGGAATTATGGAGCTACGAAATGCTCAACTCTTCAATGGCCGGAGCTGAGTCGATGATGACTGCAAATTTAAGAATTGGACGGTGAACTGGCGAATGGAAAGTCGAGTGCGGCAATGAAGGTGCAGAACGTTTATCGGAGTTATCACACCCGACGCATGTTTATATACATGCATATCTCTTTATATGCCAGCGTTTGTAAATTTCAGTTGAATTGTAGTGTTGGGTAAAAATTATTTCTAGATATGTGAAATGGGTCTATGTTATATGCCCTTTTTGTGCTGATCTAAAAGTGGGTTTTGTGTTTAGAAGTTTGGAATCAGATTCTATAATTAATAGTAGATCACATATTATAGCACTGACCCATGATTACAGATAATTCGATATATTGTTTAGTCCCATCAATATTTTCAATCATAAATTTGAGTAAGAATATTTTTAATTCTCAATTTCTTTTTGTATAAGTGTGTGTTGAAGGTTGCCTGAAATTTCTCTGTAAAGAGACATAGTTTTCTTTGATTTGGTTAAAATATAGAAAAAATTATGATCAAATTAGAAAAAATTAATCAAAACACAGAAAATTGTGAGCAAATCACAAAGAAATTTCAAATCAGAGAAAATAAAATCCAAAGCAATTTCAAAACATAGGGAAAATTAAAGAAATTGATCAAATCAAAGAAATTTCAAATCACGGAGAAATGGATCAAAAACTTATCTATGTTTTGAAATTTCCCTAGATCGAAATTTCTTTAGAAAAATATTGAGAGACCCCAACCATTATAAAAATATTGCATGTCTTTTATCATATAAAATCTTAATACTAACAATCTTTAAAAAAAAAATCCCCAAACTTAAAAGATTCAATAGATAAATTTTACATGTTTTCGTTAACTAAACTATAAATTTATTATTATTTGTTTTATAATTTTTTAATATAAATTGTGTTTGTGGGCTAGAT